CGGACTCCAGCCTGGTTGGGATGCTATAGAATCGTAGGGAAAATGAGCCATGAGGCGGAATCATACGTAAATTGCCATGCGCGTGGCCGGCCTGACAACCCCAGCGGGGGTGATAGGGGTAGAATTGGACCCCTCAAGAAAGGGGAATTTGTTTCTGTTCGCAGTGAGTTGTCCACTCCATTGCTCGCGCAATCATCGCACCCGCCCGCCCGCAACTTGGTTTGCAAAACCCATGCGGCGGCGACTGCGATGAGTGCGTGGAGTTGGCTGGTGCGTCTCTGCGGCCGCGCTAGCCCGCGCATGCTCACGCGCGCAGCGGCCAGATAGTTTGGCGCTACCGCCGCGGCCGCCGCGGTGGCGCTGACCTCTGGGCACTTCCCATTGGGCACTTTACTGCGAATCGGCGACTTGGCCGGGCGCGGTATCATGGCAACGTCGCGTCGACAACGCTATACGCGATGATGATGATGGTATTGATGCTGGTGGCGATGATGACAACGACGGCGGCAAGGCCACTGACGGCGCCGATGCTGATCGAGCCGACGACGATGGCGGCTCCCTCGCGTCGGTGATGAAACTTTGGGGGGAGTTTGACATGCGCGCGCGGCCGACGCGCGAAAATGGCCCGAATAGTTTGATTCGACGCGGACTGTGCACACCCCAGCACGCGCGCGAGGGCGTTCGCATGATGTCAGCGTGCGGCGCGAGGGGCCCGTTTGGCAGAATTGAAGGAGCACGTTGAAAAGCCTTGTTGGTTTTCTTCAGAATCCGGACTGCCGCGAGCGCATGATTAGTTGACAACTGATGTTGCGAAACCGTGTTTTTTACACGTCTTCGGGGCTCTGCAACACGAAAAGGAGAGCGGTTTAAACCAGGGGGTGGGGTCGATTTTGATGTTTTTGTAGGAATGATAATCCGAAACGCCGAGCTTGAAATTGTCAAACCCGCAGTTCGCGCATCGTCCCGCCCGCCGACGAACCCACGCGGCGGCGTTTGCGGTGACTGCTTGGCGCGGGTTGGCGCATCGCTGCGGCCGCGCCAGTGCGCACAGGGTGGCGCGCAAAACGGCCAACCAGTCTGGCGCGACCCCGTCGGCCGCGGTGGCTGTGGTCGCGAGGGAGTTCCCGGTGCGTTCAGGAGCCCGCGCTGACGCGCGGGCCTTGTAGCGCGAGTCCGTGACTCAGGCTTGCGCTGTATCGTGGCGACGCCGACAATGGCAGACACGATGATGGAAGTGGCGATGCTGGAGCCAACGATGCCGTTGACGTCGGCAAGGGCAATGACGGCGCCGATGCCGATCACGCCGGTGACGATGATGTGTATCTACCTGTCAGAGATGAAAATTTTGGAATGATTCCGACTTGCGCGCGCGGCCAACGGGCGCGAGTCGCCCGCGTGTTATTACTTGACAGAAATCGTGCCCCCCCCAGCACGCGCGCAAGGGCGTTCGAATGATTCCGACATGCGCGCGCGAGAAGCCCGAATGGTCGCATTTGATGCCGATGTTGAACTATCGCTGGTTTTCGCAACAATTCGCAAGAACGCAAGCGCAACATTTTTTAAAATAGCATGCTGCAGGCTGTTGTTCCCAACCATCCAGTGGTATTGGGTCCTTCGTTTTGAAGAGACAATGCCCAACGTTCCTTCTCTCTGTTCTCCTCTCATCTCTTCTCCTTTCCTCTCCTCTCTTCTTCCCCCCCTTCTCCGTCCTCTTCCAATAATGATGATCACCATCGCCACCATCATCATCATCATCATCATCATCATCATCATCATCATCATCATCATCATCATCATCATCATCATCATCAGTTTCGTCACCATCACAATCACCATCTCCTTCATCCTCATCGCATTTCGTGGCCCCATATGGAGCTCCACTGAAAGTCCCAGTGGCGCAGCCCGCATGCGTTTCCCACACCCAGTACAGCGTTTCGTGGCTCCATACGGAGGTCCACCTAAGGTCCCAGTGGCGCAACCCGCATGTTGTTCCCCCACCCAGTACAACGTTCCGTGGACCCGTAGGAGCTCCGCCTGAGGTCCCAGTTGCGAAACCCGCATGCGTCCCCCACACCCAGTGCAACTTTTCGTGGCCCCATAAGGCGTTCCACCGAAGGTTCCAGTGGCGCACCCCGCATGCCCCCACCTGGTACCACGTTTCGTGGCCCTGTAGGGAGCTCCACCCAAAGTCCCAGTGGCGCAGCCCGCATGCGTCTCCCCCACTCAATACAATTTTTTCGTGGCCCCATAGGGAGCTCCACCGGATGTCCCGGTGGCGCAGCCCGCATGCGTTTCTCCCACCCATTATTGAGTTTCGTGGCTGCATAGGGGGCTCCACCAAAAGGTCCAGTGGCGCAGCCCGCATGCGTTTCCCCCACCCAGTACAGCGTTTCGTGGCCCTGTAGGGAGCTCCGCCGACGATCCCAGTGGCGCAGCCCGCGTGCGTCTCCCCCACCCAGTGCCGCGCTTCGCGGCCCCATACGGAGCTCTTCCGAAGGTCCCACTTGCGCAGCCCGCGTGCGTATCCCCACCCGGTACATCGATTCGTGGCCCCATACGGAATTCCACCAGTGTCCCATTACGGCGTTTCGTGGACCCGCAGGGAGCTCCACCAAAGGTCCCAGTGGCGCAGCCCGCACGCGTTCCCACACCAAAATTAAAGCGTTTCGTGGCCCCATAGGAAGCCCCAGCGAAGGTCCCAGTGTCGCAGACCGCATGCGTCTCCCCCACCCAGTACAGCGTTCCGTGGCCCCATAGGGATCTCCATCGAGGGTCCTAGTGGCTGCGCTCGCATGCGGTTCCCCAGCCCAACACAGCGTTTCGTGGCCCTACAAGTGGGCTCCACCGAAGACGATACCTACAACTGCGGTATTCACAACTGCATATGTTTGGGTCCTTCGCCAGATTAATTTTTCCCTACCTAGGCTCTGCCTAGAAGGGTTCTTACTCTCTAGCTTAGAGGGGCCGGGCAGTGGAAAGCGCCCCGGGCGGTTCCCCCAGTCCCCGCCCCGCGGTTCCCCCAGTCCCCTGGGAACTTTAGCTTTAGCTTTAGCTTTAGCTTTAGCTTTAGCTTAGCTTTAGCTTAGCTTTAGCTTAGCTTTAGCTTAGCTTTAGCTTAGCTTTAGCTTAGCTTAGCTTTAGCTTAGCTTTAGCTTAGCTTTAGCTTAGCTTTAGCTTAGCTTTAGCTTAGCTTTAGCTTAGCTTTAGCTTAGCTTTAGCTTAGCTTTAGCTTAGCTTTAGCTTAGCTTTAGCTTAGCTTTAGCTTAGCTTAGCGTTAGCTTAGCTTTTAGCTTAGCTTTAGCTTAGCTTCAGCTTAGTTTTAGCTTTAGCTTTAGCTTTAGCTTTAGCTTAGCTTTATTTTAGCTTTAGCTTAGCTGTAGCTCAGCTGTAGCTCAGCTTTAGCTTAGTTTTAGCTTAGCTTTAGCTTAGCTGTATTTTAGCTTTAGCTTAGCTTTAGCTTAGCTGTAGTTTAGCTGTAGCTTAGCTTTAGCTTAGCTTTACTGTTACTACTAATGCTGCTTTCCTAGGGGCTCCAACTCCTAGGTAGGGTCGCACTGGGATAATATATGTTTCTGGGCGCTCGATTTGGAAATCTTGACGAAGCCTACAGTTTTTGAAGAATTTCGGCATGCGCGCGCGACGACGCGCGGGTGTTTTCTCCAACCATCCTGTGGTGTTGGGTTTTCGTTTTGAAGAGACAGCGCCCCGCGTCCACACACCACCCCCCTCCTCCCCCTCCTCCCTCCTCCCTTCTCCCCCTCCTCCGCGTTCGCATGCGGTTCCACCACTCAGTACAGCTCTTCGTGGCCCCATAGGGAGCTCCACCGAAGGCCCCAATGGCTGCGCTCGCATGAGGTTCCCCCGCCCAGTACCGCGTTTCGTGGCCCCATAGGAGCTCCATCGAAGGCTCCAGTGGCTGCGCTCGCATGCCTTTCCCTCGCCCAGTACCGCGTATCGTGGCCCCGTAGGGAGCTCCACCAAAGGCCCCAGTGGCTGCGCTCGCATGTGGTTCCCCCACCCAGTGCAGCGCTTCGTGAACCCATCGCGGTTTGAAGCCAGGGAGCCATTAGAGCTCTTCTGGGAACTTCTTAGGGGCCCTCTTGGAAGCCTCGGGGGACCTTTTGTGGCCATCTTCGAGGATTTCGATCAAAGAAGGGGGGTCCTGAATTTCAGCGCCCCCCCTCAGAGTTGCCTCTCGGCGCCCTTTGGAAACGTTTTTGGGCGCTCTTGGGGCAATATTGCGGCACACTTGGGCCCCTCCTTGGGCCCTGTTTGATCTTCTTGGAGCCATCTTGAGGCTTTCAAAGCCCATCATAAGCGAAAGGCGAGAGCTACAATCTATTTGTTTCCCATGTATTCTGGAAGGTTTTGGGCCTCTTGAGGGCCTCCGTGGATGGCCCCCTGGCTACTTGGGCACGTTTCGGGTCGGTCTTGGGTCACCCAGATGCACGTTGGAAGCTTTCGTGAGCGATACCGCCAAGTATCTACCAATGTGCCTCGATCTTGGCAAGACCGGCCCTGCTCTCAGGATCGGTGCGTGTTGGCAGTCGGCGTCGTCAAGGGATCAGAATGAGCAATCCCTCTTAGGCATGGTTGTTTTCGTCATGCTATGACGATAGCATGCCGCACGCGATGCTCTCCCAGCGCGCGTGCGAGCGCGCCGATGACAACAGCATCTCGAGGAAGAGCAGGGAGGGGGAGGAGGCCCCCTCCTCCCCCCCACTCCCTGCCTTCTGCCTCCCGCCTCCTCCCTCCCTCCTGCCTTCTCCCCTCTCCTTCGCCCCCTCTTACCCCTTCTTCCCCTATCCTGCTCTTCATTCTCCCACGCCGCCTCTCGCGCGTTCTCCTTCCTCTCCCTCTCGTCTGCGTCATCGTCCTGGATCTCGACCTCCTCCTCCTCGTCGCCCTCTCATCGCCCCGCTCTCCCCCCAGTGGCAGGGACGACGGCGGCGGTCTACTCGGGGGGAGGGGGGGGGAGGGGGAAGCGGGGGTCGCCCGAGGCACTCCGCGGAGCCCGCGCGGGTAAAGTACGCACCCTTTACAGGCGAGCGCGCATCCCCGCCGACCAGGGCGCAACCATGCGTGCGCTCCGTTGTCGGCGTCGCCGTCGGCGTCGGCCGTCATCGTCGCAGTTGGCTTCGACCGTCGTCATGGTCGTCATGTTCGTCGTCGTCGTCGTCATCGTCGTCGACAATCACAGTCAGTCGTGGTCGTCGCGCCTGTCGTCGTCGCCGTCGTCGTTATTCTCGTCGGTCGTCATCTTTCGTCGTCCGTTGTCGTTCTTTGTCGTCGTCGTCGCCGGAGGAGGAACAAGGAAAACGAGAAGGATGAGGAGGAAGATGAGGAGGAGAAGGAGGAGGAAGAGGAGAAGGACAAAGAGGTGGATGTGTGCTCATCCTCCTCTTGCTTCTTTCCTCCCCTGCCTTTCCTTCCTTCCTCCCTTTCTCCCCCTTCCTCCGCTCTTCCTCCCCTCCTCTTCCCTTTCCGCCCTCGTCGTCTTCCTCCTACGGCGTCATCCGCCCTCCTTTTTATGATTCCCAACCATCCTGTGATGTTGGGTCCTCGTTTTCGAAGAGACGGTCCCCGCGATCCTCGCTCCTCCTCGTCCCCTCCCTCCTCCCTCCTCCCGTCAACCGCCCGCATGTGTCAATCACCACCCCGCACAGCCCTTCCTCCGTGCGTTTCACCCACCCAGTACAGCGTTTCGTGGCCCCATAGTGAGCTCCACCGAAGACCCCCAGTGGGACCGCCCGCATGCGTCAACCACCACCCAGCACAGCCCTTCCTCCCTGCGTTTCACCCACCCAGTGCAGCGTTTCGTGGCCCCACATGGAGCTCCACCGAAGGCCCCAGTGGCACCGCCCGCCTGCGTCAGCCACCACCCAGCAGACCGATTCGTGGCCCCACAGGGAGCTCCGCCGACCGTCCCAGTGGGCTGCCCGTATGCGTCAACCACCACCCAGTACAGCGCTTCGGTGCCCCATAGGGAGCTCCACCGAAGGTCTCAATGGGATCGCCCGCATGCGTCAGCCACCGCCCAGCACAGAGTTCCGTGGCCCCATAGGGAGCCTCACCGACGGCCCCAGTGGCACCGCCCGAATGCGTCAGCCACCACCCAGCAGAGCGGTTCGTGGCTCCACAGGGATCTCCCCCGACCGTCCCAGTGGCACCGCCCGCATGCGTCAACCACCACCCATCACAGCGTTTCGTGGCCCCATGGGGAGCTCCACCGACGGTCCACCCAGCAGAGCGGTTCGTGGCCCCACAGGGAGCTCCACCGAAGGCCCCAGTGGCACCGCCCGCATGCGTCAGCCACCACCCAGTACAGCGCTTCGTGGCTTCATAGGGAGCTCCACCGACCGTCCCAACGGGACCGCCCGCATGCGTCAGCCACCATCCAGTACAGCGCTTCGTGGCCCCATGGGAGACTCCACCGATGGTCCCAGTGGGACCGCCCGCATGCGTCGTCCACCACCCAGCACAGCATTTCGCGGCCCCATTGATTGGGAACTCCAGCAAACCCCGGTGGCACCGCCCACATGCGTCCCCCCCCACCCGGTACAGCGTTTCGTGGGCCCATAGGGAGCTCCAGTGGTCCGCCCGCATGCGACCCCCCATCCAAACAGCGCTTCGTGGCCTCATAGGGAGCTCCTCCGAAGGCCCGAGTGGCACCGCCCGCATGGGTCCCCCCTCCCAGTACAGCGTGTCGTGGACCCATAGAGAGCTCCACCGAAGCTTCCACTGGCACCGCCCGCATGCGTCGGCCACCGCCCAGTACAGCGTTTCGTGGCCCTGTAGGGAGCTCTACAGAAAGACCCCAGTGGCACCGTCCGCATGCGTCTCCCCCAACCAGTACAGCGTTTCGTAGCCTCATCGGGAACTCCAGCGAGGGGCACCGCCCGCATGCGTCAGCCATCACCCAGTACAACGTTTCGTGGCCCACGGGGAGCCCCACCGAAAGCCCCAATGGCACCGCCCGCATTCGTCTCCCTCACCCATTACGGCACGTCCCTCACGCGTTTCGAGACCCTATAGGGGGTTCCACCGAAAGTGGTACCCACGACGCGTTATTCACAAGTGCATATGGTTGGGTCCTTCGCCAGGATAATTCCCAACCGTCCTGTGTTGTTGGGTCTTCGTTTTGAAGAGACGGTCCCCGCGTTCCTCCTCAGTCTCCTCCGTCCTCCCCCCTCCCTCCTCCCCCTTCTCCCTCCTCCCTTCGTTTCACCCACCCAGTACAGCGTTTCGTGGGCCCATGTAGTAGAAGTAGTAGTAGTAGTAGTAGTAGTAGTAGTAGTAGTAGTAGTAGTAGTAGTAGTAGTAGTAGTAGTAGTAGTAGTAGTAGTAGTTAAGTAGTAGTTAGTAGTAGTAGTAGTAGTAGTAGTAGTAGTAGTAGTAGTAGTAGTAGTAGTAGTAGTAGTAGTCGTAGTAGTCGTAGTAGTAGTAGTAGTAGTTGTAGTAAGACTAGTAGCCGTAGTAGTAGTCGTAGACGTAGTAGTAGTAGTCGTAGTAGTAGTAGTAGTAGTAGTCGTCGTCGTCGTC